CATTTTGTTATGGAAACACATAATAAGTGGACGAACGAATAAGTAGACAAAGGGACGAATAAGTGGACAAAGATGCCTTCTCTGGGATTCGAGCCCAGGCCCATCGCTACGGCAGTCAGGGTCGCTAACCACCAATATCGGCCGGGCGGCCATTTAAAATCTTTCTATTCGAAAGCGTTGAAGAAAGGTAGTGAAAAATGGAAGGTAAGAGACCTTTTGATTCTATCCCCTGATGTATTCTCAATCACACCTGGGATAGATCCTAAGCACATAACCTTCATATGCTTTGCCTTTGTAGAAACTGTATTGCACCAGATGGCGCTGTGTGCGCTTGAATTCTTCGGACTAGGGCAGAACCTTGATGATTGCGAGAGATGTAAGACCACGCGAAACATTACAAAAGTTTATATGTGCTTCTCTTTGTTGTAAATGTATTTAATTGTGTCGTCAATAAAATATAGAGAAAATGATAAAAGGCGAGAATGCGTCTGACAGGTAAGTGAGATTTCCTTATATTTGATTTGAATTGAGTTTTAGCGACAAAGAATGTTTATGCGTATTTAAAAATCGTTTTGGTGCCGAAACCCGAGAGAGAACTTTAGATAAAGTAATTCGCGCAAATAGAATCCTGAAAACGAAAGAAAGCGAAGTTGTTCGCGAAACTGAAAGAAGGAATGTTGAAGAAACCAGAAGTGAGCAGTAGAATACAGTAAAACTTCCTCGTTTGCAGATACCTCAATACGATGGCAATATATTAAAGTTTAACGAATTTTATTCTCAGTTTGAAGTAGCTATCCATAAAAATGTGAATCTTAGTAATGTAGAGAAGTTCAGTTATTTAAAATCGTACTTAACAGACGAAGCTGAGGTTACTTAATAGAGGAAGCTGAGCTACGTAGTTTAGCATGAAGTTCTGAAAACTATGAAATTGCCTTGAACATATTAAAAGAACGCTTTGGTTGAAAAGATGTTATTATACATGCGCATATGGCAAGACTTTTAAAATTAAGTCCAGTACGAAAATCATATGACATTGTAGCGTTGCGTAGAACTCAAAATGTGAAACACATATTCAAGGATTAGAAAATAACGGAATTAATCCTAATAGTTACAGTGTCTATTGTATCCAGTGTTGTTAAAATCGAAACCAAAGATTTGTCCTTAGAATTTTCTCGTAAAACACATTCGTAAGATGAAAACAAAAATCTGATTTATTGGAATTTTTAAAGATTGAAATTCAGTGTCGTGAACGTAACGAGTACTTAAGTAGAGACTTTAATTTAAACACTTTAGATTAGCGATTGGAAACTAAATTTAATCCTTTACAAAAACCTAATCAAAAGTGTGGGAGATTTAATTAAACTAAGGTTTATTATAACGGGAAAAATAAATTAAATTCGAACATTCCTACTGATGGATATTGAAGCTTTAAAAAAGATTACAGCACCTGTCAGACGCGCGGCAACTGACACTATGAAACTGTTGGGGGTCAGTCTGTAGAAACTTCTGTAGAAACTGTATTGCACCAGATGGCGCTGTGTGCGCTTGAATTCTTCAGACTAGGGCAGAACCTTGATGAATGAAAAGAGATGTAAGACCAACGCGAAACATTAACAAAAGTTTATATGTGCCTCTCTTTGTTGTAAATGTATTTAATTGTGTCGTGAATAAAATATAGAGAAAATGATAAAAGGCGAGAATGCGTCTGACAGGTAAGTGAGATTTCTTTATATTTGATTTGAATTGAGTTTTAGTGACAAAGAATGTATATGCGTATTTACAGCTTTAATTAAAATATCAGTTTAAGTTAACTCTTTAAAAAAGTCCAAATAAAAACAGGAATTTTGTTATTTGCCAAGTGATTACCATTTTTCTGAAAGTTGCATGTCCTGTACGTGTCAATACATGACGTTATGCAGAATAATTTATGCAAAGCCCTTTTCTTGGAAATTCGACAAAGATTTATTTGAAATTATAATAAAAACATGCCAAGGTAAAATTAAGCAAGAAATCAACACCTAGTTTGCCGTAGAGCTTGAATAATATTCTGTCGATTTCGATGGAGTTCAGATATAAGTACCTCTTAATGAGCATCAAATTTCAAAACGTTTTTTCGACGTGTTTGAACCCGCATTTGCATAGTCATGGCTTTCAATATTTGCCCCCAGTGAGGAGAAGTACATAGTATGTTTTGCGATGATAGGTGAGGAGTGCAGCTGTCTGACTATAACTTTGATATGTGACTGAATTTCCTGTTAAATTTGTAAAGATATGCAACTAAACATTTTAAATGTTACAAACATGTGATGATGAAATATTTAGCATTTCTGTAAAATAATTTGTTGCGAATTGGACGTTGCAAAGGCTACGTTGCGAACTGGACAATACCCACATAAACATAATTCGTCTTATTATTTTAATTAATTTAGTTAAGCCATTAGCTGCCACATTCTTTTTCTGCAATTCGTACTTCTTATAGGTTTTCTGATTAATATAGAGAATAACAAAGATAGACATATAAAAGAAAGCTTCTTTCACATGAGCTTCAAAAGGTAACTTTAAGTAGTTTACATAAGTTTACATGAAAAATAACACCATCTTTAACATAAAAACTAGTGTGAAAAAAATCTATACACTCACTCTCATTAAAGCGCTATGAATACAGCCTATGACTTCCATAAGTTTGGAATTTTACACAATTTTCTTAATAAAAAATAATATAAATTAAATTCTATTTTAAGTAAATAATGAATTAAATAACAATTAAATTCAATTGACAAATACTAATTACGCAACTTAAAACGATAGCTGGATAAAAATGCCAAAAAAACAGCTATTTTTGAATATTTATAACCGAATCAAACTTTCCAGGGAAGAAGGGGAAGACAGTATGACAAGGAAGTTTAATTGGTATTTATACACTTTATTCCAGAATTCATAACATTACTGAATATAAGATATGTATACATGTAAACTTTCATTCTGTGAAATTTCTATAATACTGACTGCACATTAATCTTCAAATGCACGTAAATTGTGCATATGTTCCTTCTTTAAATGTTAGTATTTTTCCATAAACTGATGGATAAAAAAGAAGCTGCATTGGTTCAATGCGCACAGAATATATGTATAAACACACACACACACACACACACACATATATATATATATAATTTATTTACCTAAACAATATTGATTAAATTGATTATATTATCTCCTAAGTTTAATTATAGTAGAATTATTTAAAAGAGTGAATCCATACTGGTAAGTTATATTTTTTGAAAGATGTTTTGAAGTAACTTGAAAGTAAAAATGTTAAAAATGTTTTAACGGAGACTGGAATTAAATCATGAATAAAAATTTTCAATTTAAAAGGAATAAATTAAAGGCAAGAATTAAATTAAATGCATGTAACCATTGTCATTGATCGGAAAATTAGTTGACTTTTCAAGGGGAAGAAACCAACTCCCGTTCAATGAACAATAATTAAAAATAAATACGAAGGTGTTCGTCTTATCGAGCAATAAGGCTAGCCAAACGGAATTCAAGTCAGGCAAAATTTCCGTGAATAGAAGGGATTATGAACCATGTGATTCAAAGAACTTATTCCTATAAGCATTCAGCCAATTCAATTTCGAGTAAAAAGAATTTTGCAGTAAATTCGATAATGCTGATATTATTCAAAGCCCCTGCTGCCGCTAAGAATTTTCGGACACCCAACACTTATGAGTCAGACACGAAGAGAACACTTTGCCAACTCCCCACTAGAAAGAATGTAAGTTACTTAATACCTTTTCTGGCCTTTATATCTTCATGTACATTCACTGTTTTTATTATATATTTTTATTTTTATTATTTTTTATTTTTTATTTGTTTTTACAAAGTTTGCATTATTTATCTTATTTTTGTAATCTTCTATGTTTATTTCAACTTTACTTTTTGAATTCGATTTCATAATAACAATTTCCAATGTTTAATTTTTACAAATAATATAGAACTCAAATGCATAAACATGAAGGTGTCGGGGGACGGTTACTCGAGCATTATATCGAAATTTCTCTAGAAGATTTTGCTTTTTACTTCAAATTGAATTGACTAAAATTGCTTCATAAGAATAAGTTCTTTGACTATAAGCATTTGGATCATAATCCCTTCTATTCGCGGAAGATATTTAGGATATTTGACTAGAATTGCCGGTTTGGCTTTAACTTATAACTCGAGTAAAGACGAAACACCTTCGTATTTACGTATTATTTATCAATTATTGTTCGTTGAACGGGAGTTGGTTTGTTCCCCTTGAAAAGTCAATTAATTTCCGATCAATGACAATGATTACATGTTTTTAATTTTCCTTTTACAATTGAAATTTTATTCTTCATGATGGTTTAACTCTAGTCCCCGTTAAAACATTTTTAACATTTTGCTTTCAAATTACTTCAAAACATCTTTCGAAATATAACTTACCAGTATGGATTCACTCTTTTAAAATAATTCTACTTTAATTAAACTTAGGAGATAATATAATCAATTAATCAATACTGTTTAGGAAATAAATTATTATTAACTAACTTTGCAGCAATTGCGCAAGTAGCAGTAACTTGTTTTCGCACTCAATGAATTTAAGATCATACAACATTATGTTATAATAATAATATTTTGTTATTTAACAAATAACTATATTTCTTATTGAAGTGGCAACGCCATATTTGTATGATGTAACCGCTGCTCAGCAGCGTAAGAAATTGTTTAAAATTTATAATAATAATTCTGAAGTTTTACCTGCTAGGAGATGCATGCAAAATTTGTAACAAAAAGACTGTATTCAAATTATCTATCTCCGTAAACTAAAAATAAAATTTATGTTTTACTAAGAAGATTGTCTGTTATTTTGTAAGTTACTGTAATACGTGTAATATATATATCGTGTGCATTGACTACTATAGATCAAACACTCGTACAACAAAGCTGCATATATATATAAGTGTAGAAAAACTAATTACCGGCTCTTGATAATTTAAGACAGCGTCCTTTTCCCATCATGTGTGAAGAAGTTAACGCAACGCAACACTGGCCATCATCGCAATCATCTTCTGTTTCGCATCGTTTTCCATATGTCAAAGCCTGTATAATGGAAAAAATAGCAGAGTATAGGGTCTTGCAAAAGGACAAGAGATGATCACAAGATTGCAATTAATATTAGAAGGGAGAATGGAATAAAATAATTTTCCTCACTCAAAACAACTCGTATGAAATTGAAATTTGTTTCTTGATTTATACAAGCGGTATCGTGACGAACTTGAGTGTTATTTTTTATGTATAATATTTTTATGGAGACTTTCTAACTTGTTATCAATTCCATTTAAATTCGCATTCTAAAACATATACAACCCAAATTTCACTTATATTCAACCACTTGTATTTAGATAGTGAACCTACTTCCTCCAGTTAAAGGTTTTATCACGAAGTTTTTGGTGCAACTGTTTAATTATTAATTTATTTCTAAATTTATTTTACATAGCTCGTTAAATGTACATTTAGGAGCGAAATTCAGTAATTTGCAGTTTCACCAAAGTAAAACTAAGCATATTTTCATGATATTCTAACATAAAAAAGATACGTATTCCTTAATAATATTTTAAATTTGTATTCATATTTTTTATTTCATTGTATTTTGAATTCTTAGGTAATATGGAGTATAATGCACTTTTTTTGTTTGTTTAGGGCATTTTCTATAATAAATTTAAATGTGCTTTTATTTAATCGAATTCGTAGTCGTTTGTTATGTTTGAAAGGTTTTTTTTTTTTTTTTTTTTTTTTTTTTTTTTGTTGGTGTGTGTGTGTGTTACGTTATAGACCTTGGAGTTCTAAATCGATGAATACTTGAATTATAATGAAAATTCAATTAGGACTTGAAATATGTTTAAACATTTTACTGATGGGCTTTGAACTCAAATTTTATCATTAAATTCATGATATTTTGCGATTTGTCCCGAACTTGGTGACATTGTATAGGTTTCTGAAAAAGGCATTTTTCGAATCTAATGTGCATTTTTTTTTCGACTTTTCCAGAAGTGTCAAGTAAACCAATACTTAAATTTGCTTTCAAGCTGCGAGTCGGTATTGCTTGGAACGCAGCGTTTCGATTCATCAGTATTTAAAATCAAGTAATTCCAAATTTAGCTAGATGAAATACGACCTTAGAAGGACGTTAAATTCCCATAGTGTAACTTTTTGTATCTTTGCCCCAATTTTGATGACATACTGAAAATCGAAAATAATTCGCGTCATTCCGATACAATTGAGATCTATGCTTTTCAGCTTAATGGGAATATGATCTGCTTTGTTAAGCTTTTCTAGGCCTTTGCTATGTCAAGATATGCAGAATCTTACTACTGCTTTGGAACGTGCTATTCGCTATGCTAAGCTTACCGTGAACAATATGTTAACTATCAAAAAAGCAAGTATGTAGTTTTAAAACAACGTGCATTTTGTTTCTTGAATTAATATCTAAATTGTTGATAATAATAAAAGAATAAATTTGTTAGAGACTTGGGTATTCAAAAACACAACACCGTTTTAGCAGGTGAGAAATATTTACTGTCATATCACATACGATTGCCACTAAGCGCAGGAACACTATCTTTATTCTTTTACCTATCACAGAACACTTAGAATATTTTTCTGTTGTGAGAAGTATGACTTTATTAAGTGATTAAAACTGTGTTTTTTCGTTCTGAAACACTATTTATGTTTATAAATTAACTAAGATTTATCATTCCGAAATTTTCAGTTGCAGTAGTAGAAAATCTGATCGATTAAATTGTTCTTCATACATGAGTAAGGCCCTGGGTTCAAATTCCGATTAAAAGACTGGTTTCACGGCTGGTTTCTGATTCTTCACTTTCTACGTAAATACGAGTCAGTTTTCCCTAGCTAGTGTTCTACAAATACTTGCCTTTCCTTAGGCATGTAGCCCTCGAGTGCTTTGTCGTAATCACATATTACAGGCCATTCCAACGCGAATTTAGCCTTCATACTTAAAAATAAATTTTGAAAGAAATGATCGAGAGCATTAAAGTAACCTAAAAATGTATTCTTATAGTTACGCCTTTAAACGCAATTCCCAGCCGCACGTGCTTTCCAGTTACACTACAAAGGTACTCGGAAAGTAGGAAGAAAATACTTGCATCCTCTTCACATACAAGGCGACTGTGAAGGAGATGATAAAGTTGCCAAGTTTTAATATTAATGCATTATCATCCAGCAATTTTCGGCGCCACAGTAGAGTAACCTAGATTTTTTGGATCAGGAAAGGTGAGACATGGACATATTACTTTGTTGGAATTCGAACTCCGAACCTCTAAAAGTTGCCTGGACATGCTTACAGTTACCACACGAATGCATGCGGTAAGGAGTTAGACAATACCTTACAACTACAGGTTTGAAAATTTAAGACAATACTTATATATGTTGCAAAAGAACAAGACAAATAAACTAAATGTTAAAGAAGCTAATGATTAACGAAAATAATTGGTGCAATATGAATAAACTGCAAATTCACTTTTTGCAAAGATGCTGATATACAAATTCCTATGTCTAGTTTATGTTTCTTTAGTTTATTTGTCTGACCTATATTGTATATAATTTTGTACAACAGACTAAACTATTTGATTTATAATTTTTAAATTTTATGTAAGTCCTTAAAACTATATAAATTTTTGGTATAAATTTGTAAAAGGTGCTGGTCTTCCAGTTTTGTTGTTAGAAGAGAACTAACAGTTGGAAATAATACGCTAACTATTCTATTTTAGAAAAAAAAATTAAATATTTAACATATTAATAATTTCATTAACTGGAAATGTTTAAACGAAATTTCTCCTCGTTAAGCATAATAAGTTAATGAATTTGATAGTTTATTTTTAATACTTAACATATTGTTGTACAGTTAACTAATATTCTTCGATTTTAATTAGAATTTCACAAGCTCTCAAATTAACATAAAAGCAACAGAAATTAATGCAGCAGATCTAACACCCAGTCCCCTAAAAATTTCTTGAGTTACACAAAAAAGCTATTTAGAAAATATTCTTTCAAGACAGACAAATCCTCAGAGTAAGTAGTTACTATCACTTCTTTTCAGAGAGTACATTAAAACTCACTTTACGTATTTTTTGCTGTACAGCTGTGTGTAATATTTATTCTCTTAAAGATTAATTTTATAGATATTTTTTGCAACAAGACAAAATTGTTATATGAATTCTCATGCTACTTCGCTCTTCTGCATTGCAGATACTTTAAAGTATAATAACAATACAAGCAAAATATTACCAGACAGGCTGCAAAACAAGCAATTGGGATGATCAGCTTCATGACTGGTGAAAATATTTATTTCAATAAGTAAACAAAACTTTTCATGCTCACGTTCTTATATCTTCTAAACTCCCTGAGATTAATCCACATCAAAACACCTGCTACTGTGAGAATATTTCCAAGCATTTATCTGATTAGTCTTCGATTAAATCTACGCATCTATCAGAAATTTATTTCTTCAGTATCTGTGTAATGTACATCTGAAAATCACGTGTCACCTTCAATGTTTGTAATATTCATTTGTGTCATCATTCTTTCATTAGCATACGAAACAAATGAAATTTTCTTTCATCCGTTATCTTAAATTGAAATATTTTTTCATGAAGGAATATTTGACCAAACATTTTACTATAACCTTGACTGATTTATGGATTAATATTGTTTGTGTCTTTACCTGTAAAACAAAATTTTCTTATGAGAAAGTCTTACCTCAAGTCACGCAAGCGAAAATTGGTTAGATCAGCGTTTTTAAAATTATGTTCCATGGAACCCTGGGGTTCCGGAGAGATCTCTCAAAGGTTCCGCGAAACTTACATACCTTTTTTCTATATCATTGAAGAAAGTAACTTTATCTGAGTTAAATAAAAGGATCCATTACACCCTTCACAATCTGTGTTGTAATTTCTAATACATAGCGATAAGCTAAGTTTCGTGTAGAATTCTCGTAGTTTGTTTTGCCAAAGAGAACGAGGGTCTATTATTTATTAGTTTGTCCAAGCTTTTACTATTACTACTAATTATTTTTGGGTAAATGTTTTTATGAACTTCATTTGTTTTTAATAAATACATAAAATTCTCATAACTCTTATCTGCAAATATAAGTATTTTAAAATACTAATATTAGTGATTTAGCAAAGGAACTTAAGCAGATATCAATCATATTAATACATCATGTCTTGAACTTGAGGAAGCTCAGTTGAAACACATTTAAAGTAATTCAAAGGTGAGATATTTTGCTCTTAAAGGAAGAAAGCTCGTTTAATTTTTAAATAGATTATAACAACTCATACAAGGATTATCTCTCCTAAAGGAAAATATAACTTAGGGAAAAAAACTGGTTCGTGGTCAGATTATGCATTGGCAAAACAATGAAAATGTCCATCTAGGCAACCCAGACGTCGAACCAGCCTCCTTCTAACAGCATTCATTGACCTTACTCTCTCGATCACTGCAAAGCAGTGCAAAAGAAATTAAAATAAAATATTTGACTTTCCACTCTTTTAGATTTTTAGTATATTATTATAACTCTGATTCTAGTTTAATGAATGCAAATTCGAAACCGAAATAGTGCTTTTTAACAATCGATAATTTTGTTTTTTAATTTACATTATAGGCTTTACATTTCATTTAATTTACATTAAGTACTTTCAAACTAAGCGTCATGTGCTAATTGACAAAATAAAGGCAAATAATTCCGTTTCTGTGATTATCTAATGTTGTTGTTGTTTTTGTGACTTATCTTACTTGTCTGACAATAGTGTCAGAACGAGCCCACGAAATTCATCGAGGCAAAGAGTGCAAGATTGTACCTATCGTTGGCAAGAGCCAGTGGTGACAGTGGTCATGCAGGTGACAGTAATATTTTGCTCAGTTCCGCCCCCAATTTTGATGGAGAGCACCCCGGTGATGATGGGTCAGAAAGGTGTCCCACCATTCGTTCTCTATCACCATAGCAGTGGTAAAAAGCTAGAATGTTGAAGCTAGAAGTAATGCTGTCCCTCCTTTCCAAAACTTGAAAAATGCACATGCATTTATTTAGATTTATCTTATTTTTATTGAAACATATACAATTATTTAAAATGTACATATAATGTACATTTTTTAAAAATACATGCACATTTATTTAGAATTCGATTATTTTTATTGAAAATGCATATACAATTATTTAGAATTAGATTATTTTAATGTGTTATTAAAATTAATTACAAAATGTGTAAAAAATGTTGAGAAAGATGAAAATTTGCATAAAAGAAGTTTTTTTTTAATGTTTCATACACTTAAACTGAACTATACTTTCTCATAACTTAACATTTAAATAAAGAGCTGACAACATTCCCCCAAGGGAGAATTCCCCCCTCCCCCCGCTGAGAACTCCTGAATTAAAGAGTAATAAATGACATAACACTTAAACTAGTCCGAAATGCTTCGTAATATTTTGAGATAGTTAAAAAATGTCTTTAATTTGATTTTTTTATATAGAAGTATAATGTGTATTTAATATGCTAAATAAATCACACATTAATTTGCAAATTGATACGTTTTACGGGGGCGGTGAAATAAAACCTTGCGCAAGTGTGCCTCGTTTACGCGGCGCCTCTGCATGCGGTATAGAAAAATCGCTTACTATGTCATCTCTTAGACCTTCAAGGGAGGGTGAGGTCTTCACATCTGCATACTTCTAATTTCCATCAGGATATAATCTATTTACTTGTGACTTTATTTCATATGTAAATTATAGAAACTGTTTCTTTCTGCGCAATAATACTGTATACAAACATTTTGTGTCGGTTTCTTATTTGATCTAAGAAAACACGCGAGAATGGTTTCGGAGAATTTTTTTAGAAGGAAAATAACTCCTTTGTATTCACGTTATCCAAGGGAAGCGTTCGGAACGCTCCAGCAGCCATCGCTTCATTGAGTTTTTGAACGGCATACAGTATTATATTATATTTCGCATTTAGATTTATGTTATTTGGAAATTTTTTGTAAGCTGCGTTTGCGGTTGAGAATCGTTCTTCTAAGTAATGTATTATGTTATTAAAAAACAGGCTAACTAAACAAGGGAAAGACTTAATAGAAATGCTTCTCTTTTCCTAGAAGCAGGAAACAAAAAAAAATGGTTATTACTGAAAAAGCAATAAATATACTTCTTCATATCCAAGGTGCATTTTACGTGGAAATAAGTTTTGCCGTATTCTCCCTTCTCTTCCATTTGTGAATATCTAGGTCTAGAACAACGTATTAAATAAATTGTAGGATATTTAACATTTAAATAAAAATCAGAAATGAACAGTGAAAGCCTATAGCAACTGTTATGCAAAGGTAAATAAATCCATCGCTGAGACAACGCATGTGCTTTTGTTTTTCATAACTATTTTAATATATTTTATTAAATTTGGGAACTGTCTCAGGAAGTCATGCGACTTAGCCCTTCTCATAACTCTGTTAAATTTTACGTGAACTTTCGCTGTATCTTGTATCTGAACTGAGTTTGCAATCTACTGAATTAAAGTTGTACTGTAAAGAGGGGAAGCAAAAAAATTGCAGTTAACGTTGAAGCTTTAAGTGCTTACCTTATTTTAATTAACTCATTTTATAGTTTTAATTGTCATATCAAACTTTTCTTCTTTGGTTCGAAATGGTGTAAATTTTACATGCTTTTTAATTTTATGCTTAATTTATATTCATCCCCCTCTAATTTAGAAGTCAAAATGTCAAAGTTCGTTGATTGTTTCCTTTAATAAAAGCATTTTCTTTCGAAGATACTCGAGTCCATTATGTTGACTCTAGGCAAAGACTCATTTACCAGTTTCGTTTTTAAAACTGATTAAAAATTCATCACAATGCCTGAGAGATGGAGAACGCTTTAACTATACATGTGCTGAGAAAGAGCCGAAGCTTCCAGATCAGACAGCGCTGCGAGGAATTTCCCTCTCGACAAAAGGACTTCAACTTCGCCTTTCGTCAACAAACACGAGGCAATTAATTCATAACTGCTGCCAGCTGCGGGAAAGAAAAGAACTTAATTATTATGAGAAGAAGTGAAATGCGATAAATGAATAATTGGAAACGGTAGAAGAAGAAGAGTAAAATTAAAAGCGGCGCCAAAATTGGTTCTCCGCGTCTCTTCCAAACCAAAAAATGTGCATGTGTACGCGGTCTTTAATTAATAATTTCTAGACGTTTCCCGAAGGATTTCTTTTATCCTTTGACATTATTTCTGCTTGTTTCAGTTAATTTTGTGATTGTAAACATGGCTTAGCTTTGTTCTCCAAGCTTAATTCTCGTAAAAGTATAACAAATCAGTGTCAAAAGTAAAATTATTTCCCGGCGTATTTTGGAAGGGATTAATTATGGTAAGTATTACACAGAGTCCATGCAAAAACGATGCCCAATCGCTACCTTACATAGTTGCGAGGTTTATCCATTGATTTATTCGAGAAATATTATAAAATTAAATTATCCGTAAAGGATGCTATATGGTAAGGGCCCTGTCACATTTTTCTAATTGAAAGCTTCATCTAATGAAACTGGTGCATGGTATATTTATAAAAGTTTATTTTTGATTTTGAGAAATCTTGTTTGTAATTCAGAATGTTGATAGAATATTTTACTTTTTAAATGAATAAGCTAGTGCTATTTCTCGAAGTCCCTTTAAGAAAGCTTTTCTGTAATCCCAGAATTCCAATAAAGTCGCATTTATTGTGTTTCCTCCAAACTTCATTTCCTGATATGTAAGTAATTTGTATAGATAGTATGTATAGGAAGTACAGGTAATTTGCATTTATAGTTATACCGTTTGCCGTTGCTTGCGTCTTTAGAAGTGTTGGTAAAGAGCGAATGTTCGAGCCATTTAATAAAGACGTACAAATGAGCAAAATTCAGTTTGATGTTGTGTTGATAGGAAATGGATATTTCTTCGCACAGAAGAGGGTTTTAAATAGCAAAAATGTTATTTGGATAATTATTTAACAGAATGGCAATAACTGCTGAAGTTGCGTTATCATTTACTGATGTCTTAATTTACCAATTGTATATTAAGTGTTACATTTCATATTCCATTTTAATAAAACATTACTACTTTCTTATGGAAAAAATTAAATGTATGTAGAATTTAAAATAAAGCAGTTCTTTTCTTGTTTTGCATATATGGAAACTTAACCATCTTTTGCATTTAAGTATCAGTTACAACAAATAATGTTTCAGATAGAAGCCATCTTTCGCATATTTCATCAAATGCTTGGTTAATAAATTGCTGAAATCTAATTTCATATTAATGCTAAAAATATCCTTAGAGTTGTATTTTTCCTTTTTGTATTTGCGGGATAAACTGCATTTGGCAAAGGTGTTATGAGTGGGGAGGTTATACAATTATT